TACACAGATGGTACAGTTATTGGCCTATGTATAGAACAGGGTAGGCTAAAGGCAAGAGTAAGCCAGCAGGTGCCTCCCGCCCAACACCCCCCTTTACTCCCCCCCCCCCACCCCCCCCCCCACACACACCCTCAAGACAGAGTCCAGGCAGGGAAGGATAGAGGACCAGAAGGCCAGAAAACATCAGCAGGCAAGTCTTGCCAACATGGCTGATGTCAGCTTAGAAGACATCTTTGTGGTTACAATGGGGTGAGCCAAAGTATTTCCCCAAATCTTTTCCAGCTATCCAAGTGAAAGACGAGAGTGAAACTAACTCTTCTCACATCGCTACAATTTCTGAGCCTCCAGGAGAAAAGTCTAATCTTTGGACAAGCCAAGCCCCAGTTGCATTTTCCAAAAAGTCTGAATGAAGCAAAAAAAAAAAAAGTTCTGATAATGGTTATAGCATTGAGGTCTTCTGGGATACCAGTGTTTCCTCGGCATTCAGAAAATCAAAGTAGTAGACCACTGACATGTGGACTGAACAAGGTTTAAGCAGTTAGATGCAGAACAGCACTCATATTTAACCAACAATGGTTGCAATGACAGAGCAGTATATTACACAATGGAAAGCTAGTTTTAAAGAGTTGTAGCCTTTAAAACCAGTATGATGCATTTATACAATATATCCCGAAGCTGTGTTCTTGTAAGCTAAAGCTATACTTCTTAAGAGATAAAGAAAGAGTTTCTTTGCCAGGAGGGAGCTGTATTCCTGGCCTCTCTTCTTTGGAGGGCTTTCAAAACTGTATTAGGTTTTTACACCAGTAAACTCTGAATAATTAGGCCAATTTCTTATGGTAATTTTATTTCATAAAATACTTCAACTTCCTGAGCAAAATTCATCTCTGATTCAATTAGATTTGTGATCCAATTCATAAAAGCACTTCAAAATGCAAGTAAAAATATCATCTGTGACAGAAATACATTGCTAGCTTTTTAGTTATTTGATTTTCACGGAATGAACCAAGTTATATTCACTGATGCACTGGAAAGTGCCCAGACTAACTAAAAATAGTCAGGAAATTCTGAATAGGAAAAAAACCTTATTTCCATCTTTTTGAAGTTTGCTCCAACCATTATTACTAAAGTAGCGCTATGAATATGTAACCACAGATCTGCTACTAGGGCCGATTCCAAGGTGATGCCTTCAAGGCGGGCGTGAAAAATGTGACTTTAAGACACAGGCCAGTGTTTGTTCCAATTACCCGGGGATTCCAGAAATTCTCAGACACTGAGGAGCAGCGTGAAGTGTTTTCCAGAGCCCTGCCAGCTGCATTTTTGGGGGAGCAGGGGGTACGTTCGCATCACAATTGTGCTTCCCTCTGAAATCCACCACTCCCATGTGTAATTCCAGAGTGTAATTCCAGAGTGATCCACCACTCCAGGGTATAATTCCAGAGTAATCCACCAACACTCCAGAGTATAACTGCAGAATGTAACCCACCACTTCAGGCTAACCACTCCCCATGGCCAGAGTGTGGCATCCCAGACCAGAGGACATGCTGTGAAGAATCCTGGGAACCAGCCTCTCATTTTCAAACAATCTGCTGAGAAGTAATTACAATCCCGGATGAAAGAACTTCTGTTTTACTACCCTCGAGGTATTGCACCATCCTTTCTTACTTTCCCTAAATTTTGCCTGCC